CCGAGGTGGGAAAAGTGTTGACGTGCAGCTGAGGAGTCCGAAGCCTTCGGAGCCCCAACGAGCCAGGAGAATTAACACACAGCCCGCCCACCTCAAAAACTTCAATCGAGGTCCGCGCATCAGTTTACTTCGCTGTTGTGATTTTACAGATGCTGTAGGGACTGTAGGCGGCTAGGGTGACTTGTGCGAGGGGCCAAGGCGTTACAAACAAGTCATTTGGGAGCCAAATCACGCCACACCGCCTGGAACCAACGGACCAAGCGGTGGACACATACTTTTGGTGTTCTTTTCTATTTTCATTATCCACGTCATATAAACAATTTTTTTTTTAACGCGTTTGCGACGTTTTTTTGGGAGCGACCTTTTTGATGCAAAAGGGTTTCGGTGCTATTGAATACGAATACGCCACGAACAGCGCGATTTCATGCCGAAAATGATAAGTTGTCTGGCGGCTTCTGACCGTTCGTGCACACTCGGAAGAGGAAGCACACATCGAGTCAGTAGACACGCCAGTGTGTTTTTCATACTACCCAACACCGAGGAGAACCGGCGTCATTTGGCCGGCCATTTTCCACCCGCAACAAGAGACGGCAGTCCTTCGCTCGAACAAGGGAAAGGGTGCAAACGTCTGGAGCGCGCCCGGTCGCTGGTTATCGAGTGGCCGCCGGCATTCTCCGTCCCTAGTTTGTGGCGGGTTAGGGTCAGCCAGCAAAGCGGGCAGAAGCGCGCTCCTCGGCGCCAGCAACTGACTTGTCTTTTTTTTTTTTTTGGAGGGGGGTCGTTAGGTTTGAATGAAGAACACTGCATTTCCTTCGGACCAGACCGTTTCGGCTGCCACACGGGTCAGAGAATCAGCATCCTCACTGCGTGCGTTTCATGATTTTTTTTTTTTTTTTTGCGATTATATTGCTGTTGGCATAAACTTCATATGAAAACGTAAAAACCCCCACTTTAAAAATTCTGGAACGCCTGCTTTCCTGCAGCGAACTTGGAAGAGTCAAGCGCTGCTGTCTACTACAATGACGACGCTGAATTTATGTTTAAACCTAGTAAAAACAGAGGCCGTGGTTAAAACACAGTCTGCATTCTGACAACGAGCATGACGATCGCGAAGCAGCTGAAATTAATACGTCATCTCAGTGCCACGAAGCAGAATGTTTTCTTTTTTTTCTTCTTTTTAGGTCTGAGCATCCAGCCTCGCCATTTGCCGAGCTCCGTCCGTAAAGTGCGGCGATTGGTCTTCCCAAATGTTTGGCAGGAAAGTAGACGCCCCAGATTTCTTAGAGCCTATACCGACGTAAAATATCCCCATGCGTTGGCACGGGCATGTGTTGCGTGACATGAGTATGTTTACTGTGCAACGAAAAAAAAAAAAAAAAAGCGGATGAAAGGCAGGGCGTTGTCCCTTCTCCGCCCGGTTCTTTCACTGCTTCGTACCCGTTTGTTCCAACCCAGCTGAAAGCGCAGACGATTGCAGTCGGCCAAGCTTCGTGTTTACTGAGTTATCATTTGTTACGGAAGCGAAAGATGATAAAAAGGCTCGTTGCTTTGTTCCCGCCTTCTACTCTGCTCCACTTGAGACTGATAATTCTGGCACCGCGGAATTACTCGCACTTCAACGAGCAGTCCCGGAAGTCATCACTACTTCTAGTTAAAAAAGTAAAGGAGAACGCTGATATGTGCCTCTTAAACCTTACAATAAAAATATAAGCCTCAATCAAGCACACCCATCCACCCACACACACACACACAGAGACACACACGCATTAGTCGCTTACAGCTGAAGAAATGCAGGACGTGGTTTACGTTCACGCTTCTAGCTTCGGGATTGCACGGTTCTACGGCGCTCTTATCGGCTGATGCCGCAATCTGACTGGCCGCGGTGCAATAATGAGATGGTCCGGATTCGCCCCGCCCAGCGTTACTTCGGCTGTCAGTGAACCAAGTTTCACTTTCGAATCGTCCGGTCATAGGGGCGTGCCGAACGTGAATGACACAGCTGCCCATTGTCGTGGCCTGCAGGTAAGCTTTGCGCACCGACAGTCTCGGAAGGGAGTCATATGTCCTATCGCGTATGGAGTTCTAGAGTTCAATAAAGGGTTAAAAATCTGACAGTAAGGGAACGTGACGTCCTTCAACTGCTTGGAGGCCAGCACGTGGTTCGCGAGTAAAACCATATGCCTCCTCTCACAAAGCCTGGCAGTTCGACGACGGAGCTATAGAGTGCCCGGTCGCAGATTTGGAGCGCGAGGATCTGGTAGCACAGAGCATCAAAGAATCATTTTTCGGGGAACCTGGACGTTAGCGCACAACTTTAGCAGCGGTGAAGACCCGAAACACACTTGTTCGCTCGGGAGAAGTGTGTTTCGGCCTCTCGCCGCAGCGGGGCGCCAGTCACGTGGCTCTCCTCTCATCCGTAGTTTGCCGCTCCACCTTTTCCATTTCGGCGGCGGCTTCTCGTGGCGATCTGCCAGGCTTTGTCAGTATATAGGACGCTATGGTAAAACCTACATCTTCCAATGAAAAAAGAAAGAAAACGGGAACACGTGAAGCGCCCACGTTGCCAGTCGAAGAGGGGATCGCTGAAGTACCCAGCCCGCAGCTTCTCATCGCGAATGGAACCAGTCAGAGGTTGGCCCCCTGCGACGTCACTGTGCCCTCTGCTGCGCAAGAAGTAGACGAGCTTGCTCGTCGTATTCGGACATTCAAGAAAGATCAACTCGCACGCGCCATTCTACGAAGCACACCAATCGAGAGACCTGGATAACAATTGGTTCAAAAAATGCCGTATGCGCTCAATAACAATGCCGCGTTTTGCATATATATATATATATATATATATATATATATATATATATATATATATATATATATATATATATATATATAGAAGCTTTACACACACGCCAAATTACAGCCGCCATTGCTGACCGTCTCTTGTCTTACCGAGATGCCGAGCAACTGAAACGGTAGTTGACGATCCTCTACAAAGGCCGATGCTTTAGAAAAGGACACAGTTGAATCTAATATGGCAATAACCTGTCCTGCTATGGTAATGATGAAGCGAAATAAACGGAATAAGAGGAAACAAAAACTGAAGGTCAGTTATGGCGGCGTCCATGCACAGCTGCTGCAAAGCGTCTTTATGTAATCTAATGCAGTCTCAAACTTCCGCAAGGCCATTTTACTGCTTACAGAGAGAAACGGTCCCGCGTGCGATGATTATTAAGTGTCTAGAGCGGCGCGTGCTTGTCACTTCGGCAAAGGAAGATCAGAGAAGCGAGTCGCTCGGAGTGCCGATACCTAAAAGCCATATTTTCTCCAAAATGCACGCAATCGACTAGACGAATTGCAAAACAACAACAACAAGACATTGTTTCACTTTAAATAAACTTATCATCATCTCGTAAGAAAAAGAAATAAAAACTATAGTAACTATTCGTTCATGAAACAGCGGGAGTGGCTATTATTCGGTTCAAATGTCACACTACGTGATTCATTCTCCTGCATTCTTATCGGGTCAACTCTCCTCAATGCTTGATGCGTCGAGGTGCAACGGGCATTGGGTAAAGCTTCGGTTTTCTAGGCTCCAGTCTAGAAGCAAAGGGTGCTGACAGAGGTATCCTTTGTTGGAATGACGAGCCCGGAAAAAGATAGGCGGAGTTGCGTATAGAGACGCCATTTTTACTTGGAACACGTATCGTGCGCTAATTCGTCACAACCTGCAGTTTTTTGTTTTCATCTGTCGAACACACGAGCCGCTCCTGTGTTCGCTCCCGAGTTCGGCTCGTATACATCGTCGGCTGCGATTACGGGTTTTCCGCGTGGTCCACGGAGAAGTAGACGCGCAAACATTTAATTATTTTTTCCTTACTTTTTTTCTGCACACACACTGCAATGTCGAGGACTTCCGAAGTGTGCCGGTTTCAGCAACTCGCGTTACGATCTGCGCAAACGAACCCGGTGTCCGCGCCAAGCCTCGGCTTGGGCGTGGCCGCGGGCTCACTCGAGCCCCCGGGGTTTGGGCAACCCTGGTGCAAGCTCCGCGGCTCGGAGCAATCGTCATGGAGATCAGCAACGACTTTGAGCTTTCGCAGACACAGCTGACTGTCAGTGGCGCGGTCGCTTTCCCGGTTTGTATTCGTAACGTGTTGCGCGGTGCAGCCGTTTATTATATCCGCCGGGCACTTCTGGCTCGTGCTCTTACGGCTCTGGTTATTCGTTCGCGTCATGCCGGATAATTTAGTTTACCGGCTTCACAACTGCCCCGAAATTTCAGAAGCTTGCGTGTCGATATACTCGAATGGAACTTTAGAGCAGCAGCATGTGTAGCAGCAACATGGTTGATTGCGCCGCTTTATTTTTTAAGATGGGTGCGAGTACTGAAATAATCCTCAGGGGTCAATACCTAGCCGTGCACATTTAAAATCAATAAAAGGGTTCCTTTTTTTAAAGCGGCGATAATTGCGCAAGAGGTATACTTAGGAAATTTAGATATCAGTAGGACTGTTTATTTTTTTTTGTTCGTAGATATTTTTATTAGGTGCAAAACCCATTAAATCGGCTATAAATCGCGAGGGCCCCTAAAACACCATAACTACTTGAAGGGCCAAAAAGAATTAATAAGGAAAATAAACGCAGACAAATAAAGAGAACGAAATATAAAGCTCGCATGGTCCGCGCTTTTCTGTTTCTGTCAAATAAAAAGAAAAGCAGCCAAGAAACTGAACATAACACGCAGGGTCTTTGAAACCCTTTTCGTTTCTTTAATAGCTTGCGCCGAGTTTGTATAACAAAAACGTAACGAGGGCCCTCGATCTCCGATCTCACTTCGGGTAGGAAAAACGAAGAAATTAATACTGTTGCCCTTAACAAAATAAAAGACCCTTCGTCGTGCACTGCCGAAAAAAAAAAAAAAATACGAATAAAATTTTTAGGCTCAAAAAGAAACGAAGATATCGTGGTGGGTACCTAAGAAAAACTCCAAGACGTTCGCTTACCTTTGTGAGAGGTTTTCCGAGAGACGCGATGTCAATCATAATGACGAAAAATCCGTTCGCGAAAGAGTCGTTCTTCTGTGCAAGCTGCGGCTCGGGAATGGAGAGCGGTTTTTGTCACAACCGAAGTTCAATTCGAAGCAAAACTACTTTCACTGAAGTTCACCAGGCCCGATTTCCACAGGCGTCACAAAGTGGACTCAAACAACTTCTGCTATCGGGTGTGGTGGTGTCTGCTTTGAAAAAAGTAACCCTAGCGGCGTGTGCCTCGACTACACAAATCGAGAAATATGTTCAGGCTATAAATGACAAACATGAAGATGTAAGTGTGAAACAAATTGTATTATTAGTGTTGCGTATAACGTTCAAAAACATTTTAATAAATTAACATTATTATTACTTGACCGTTCGACCTTCAAACTATCAACGAAACCGAAACTGCCGTTTATTCTTCTAAATAAAACTAAAACTATAAATATTAGTTCATAAAATTTAAAAATGCAATAATTTACAAGATTAAACGTTCTACGTCACTATTTTGATATAAACTGAGCGATTAAAAAGCTAACTAAACACCTAAGTTACCGCCTGGTTTGATTCATTGTATCTAGATGGCGCCACCTAACCAGCCGCCATTTCGGTCTTTTTTTTTGTGTTACTTTTTGTCGACAAATTCCTCACCCTCTACCGGACAAATAGGTTACTATGGCCCCGCGTAGGAATTTTGAACGATTTCGCTGAAAGTTTCCCTAGTGTTTTTGTCGGTTCCGGTGTAAATTCCATTGACTGAGTTGCTGCTCCGGATCATCGGATTATCGGCACGGATATCGAAGCCAGCGCTTCTTCAGCCCCGAGTGCGCGGCTCCTTTTGGATGGTTTCGTTGAGGTGGTGTCTTCGAAGGGCTGCCCAAGAAATTCGCGTGGCGGTCAGGTCGGTCCGCTAGCACTGATCGGGAACACTTGTCAACTGGTGAACCTCCTCTTTTGGCAACCCGAAAGCCTGGTGCATACAGCAGGGCCAGCGAGTATCGGCGGTGACCTCCGACCATGTGTTGTGTGACACCCAGCGTGCTCCTCGTACAGTGTCGCAAACTTTAGTCGGAGGGCAACCCCTCCCGCAAGCACCTCTTGGTCGGACAGCGTTCTATGAAAGCAGGTATGTGTGTCACACTTTGTTCGCTCTATGTTGATTGTTGTTGTTTTGACAGCGCCGTGCGTATGAAAGCCTCGTGTAGCCAAGGTGCGCCGACCTTAGAACGTTTCAGCGTTGACAACGGCAGCGTTGGTTGACAGGTACGGTAATCGAACTCAAAGTAGCTCATTGGGTTCCAGTCACCCATTTTTAGGCCGCCTTTTTATTGTTTGGAAGGTCGACAAGTCGCTAACCGGCACAGGCGATCGTGCCATCTTGTAGTGTCGAAAAGTAGAACCAAGAACAAACTTTTGTGCTCGCCATACAATAGACGGGGTTGACATTACGGGGGGCAGCCGTAGTGCTCATATTTGCCGCTAGGTGGTGCGTCGGCTGCGTCCTTCCTCCAAACCGGGAAGCAAGCAGAGCGAGGAGAGCGTGGTCAACGCTGTTGTCTCATTTTCATGCACACCGCGAGTTAGCCGACGCTTCCGCGGACGAGTGTCGTGCGTTCAACTTCGGTGGCGTATTAATAGCAGCTACACGTCATAGCAGCTACGACCGACAGATGTTGTCTTTGAACACCTGTTTGGGCGCCACTTGAGGTGCGATGTGTCCTGTTTACACACGCACACGTGCACGAAGGTAGCAACGGCGGCGCATTTGCAAAAATTTTATTTTGCTCTCTGATCCACACTGGTATATGAATATATATATATATATATATATATATATATATATATATATATATATATATATAATGATATGATGGGCACAGGTCTGCCTCGCTGAATGGAGTGAATTGATGCCTATTTGGCACCCAGAGCGCGTAAAACTTAAGGAAGGGTGACTCGCCATTCCTTGTAATCATCTTCCGTCGTCGCGATTTCACGTCTTCGGGTATCTCTCTGCGTGCTTAGGATTTCTGGGTCAGCCGTGGCGTAACTAGTAGAGAGATCGCGTGCTACCGAAGTCCTCGACTCTAGCTTTTTTTTGGTACACATCTGCACGCAGTTATAATGTCTGTGTCATCGGAGCACGTGCGCTGACAAACATGGCGGTCGACAGATCGTGCTATGCCATATGTTAGCTCAACGCCCAATGCTCGAGTTTCAGCAGACAAGCATTGGACTGAAAATGCTTTGCTCAGTTTTTATTTACTACGTCTCGAAATTCACTCCTCTTGCGATGTGTCGACGTAAGCGATTTAAGGACTGCGGTGCTGATGACCGTAGATAAACGCGCAATGTCTGCTTCACGCGAATCCGTAGGTTCCGTTCAGAGCGACCTGGACAACGCGGTTGTACGACAGTAACAACAGATTCGCCGGAACAACTGTTCCATCGCACCAACGGCCGACAATATGTAGTCACGGAAGCCACAAGGGCGAGCAGACATCGTGAAAGGACGTGTTTCGTTCAGTTCGGTGTTTTCCCACTGGGTGCCGTCCGTTTCGCCGCCGTCGCGAATGTTGCACGGCCGCACAATGCAAAGATTTGGATGTCCGTAAAAGAACTGAACGCGCTCGTGCCTACGATGGCACGACCGAGCGCCACAACCCGTGCTCCTCAAGAAGATTCGGCGAACCTGCTCAGAGCGCTTCAGCCAGCAGCAGCAGCAGACCAGTTTCGGTTACGTAACGTGACGTCACAGTCGCCGCCAGGCATGCAAGGCAGAACTCGTGCGTCACGCCGCGCTCATTACGCCCAGAGGTCGTCGTAAGCCAGGACCAGCAAAAATAAGCACCGAAAAAAGGCAGCGAAGACTGGCGATGCACGAAGCGGCGAGTGCGAGCAAAACACAATGCCAAGCGGGGAGACGTGGCGATTTGCCGGCGCATCGATGCAGTCACGCCGGAACGATTAGGTGCGCCCAGCCGAATCCGGATGAAGGAGGCATATATCCTTCTGCGGAACGGTGCGGGCTGCCTCTCTACCTGGGCTTGTTTTCACTCGGGTCGCGGGCGGCGCCGCGCTAGCGCCGGCACCGCGAATGGCTTTGACCTCGGCGCGCGTCCCCGACGAGTCGGCGCGGGCCGGCTGCCCGGCCCGCTCGAATCTGTCGCTCACGAAGGCAGCCGATCACAGTGAACGATAGAAGGTTCCCAGCGGAGAATGAAGCTCGGTATACGATTACGTCGAAAAAAGCTTGCTGGTGGCTGTCGCTGGCAACTGGTCGCCTGCAGTCTAAAGAATGTCAGTAGGTTCCCTTTCTCGCATAACACGAAGACAGCCAATCACGGAGAGCCATAGAATATTCCCTACAAAGAATGAACCTCTGAATACGATTACACTGAAAAAAAGCTGGCTGGTGCCTGTCGCTGGCAACTGGTTGCCTGCAGTCTAAAAAACGCCAATGAGTTCACCTTTCCGCATAACACGAAGACAGCCAATCACGGCGAACCATAGAATATTCCCAACGAATAATGAACCTCGGAATATGATTACACTGAAAAAAAGCTAGCTAGTGCCTGTCGCTGGCAACTGGTTGCCTGCAGTCTGAAGAACATCAGTGAGTTAGTTCCCTTTCCTGAATAACACGAAGACAGCCAATCACGGCCAACCATAGAATATTCCCAACGAACAATGAACCTCGAAATATGATTACACTGAAAAAAAACTGGCTGGTGGCTGTCGCTGGCAACTGCACTCTAAAAAAAAGTCTGTGTGTCTACTTTCACGCACAGCACTCGGAGAACCAATCAGCACAAATTACGGAGGCAGCTCAGCGAATGGCGATGCCGAAACATCTGTTTAGACCAAAAAACGCAGACTGAGTTGTGACATTAAGCAATGCAAGCGTGACGTTTTGCATTGCTTAATGTCACAACTCAGACTGCGGTTTTTGGTTTAAACAGATGTTTCGACACGTCATTCGCTGAGCTGCCTCCGTAAGTTGTGCTGATTGGTTCTCCGAGTGTTGTGCGTGAAAGTAGACGCACAGACTTTTTTTAGACTGTGGTTGCCTGCAGTCTAAAGAACGTCAGTGAGTTCCCCTTCCTGCATAACACGAAGACAGCCAATCACGGCGAACCATAGGATATTCCCAACGAATAATGAACCTCGAAATACGATTGCACTGAAAAAGAGCTGGCTGGTGGCTGCTGCTGGCAATTGGTTGCCTGCAGTCTAAAGAACGTCAGTAAGTTCCCTTTCCTGCATAACACGAAGCCAGCCAATCACGGCGAACCATATAATATTCCCAACAAATAATGAACCTCGAAATGCGATTACACTAAAAAGCTGGCTGGTGGCTGTCGCTGGCAACTGGTTGCCTGCAGGCTAAAGAACGTCAGTGAGTTCATCTTCCTGCATAACACAAAGACAGCCAATCACGGCGAACCATAAAATATTCCCAATGAATAATGAACCTCAAAATACGATTGCACTGAAAAAGAGCTAGCTGGTGGCTGCTGCTGGCAATTGGTTGCCTGCAGTCTAAAGAACGTCAGTGAGTTACCTTTCCGGCATAACACGAAGACAGCCAATCACGGCGAACCATAGAATATTCCCAACGAATAATGAACTTCGGAATACGATTACACTGAAAAATGCTGGCTGGTGCCTATTGCTGACAACTGGTTGCCTGGAGTCTAAAGAACGTCAGTGAGTTCCCTTTCCTGCATAACACGAAGACAGCCAATCACGGCGAACCATAGAATATTCCCAACGAATAATGAACCTCGAAATACGATTACACTGAAAAAAGCTGGCTGGTGCCTATTGTTGACAACTGGTTGCCTGGAGTCTAAAGAACGTCAGTGAGTTCCCTTTCCTGCATAACACGAAGACAGCCAATCACGGCGAACCATAAAATATTCCCAACGCATAATGAACCTCGAAATACGATTACACTGAAAAATGCTGGCTGGTGCCTATTGCTGACAACTGGTTGCCTGGAGTCTAAAGAACGTCAGTGAGTTCCCTTTCCGGCATAACACGAAGACAGCCAATCACGGCGAACCATAGAATATTCCCAACGAATAATGAACCTCGAAATATGATTACACTGAAAAAAAGCTGGCTGGTGGCTGTCGCTGGCAACTGCACTCTAAAAAAAAGTCTGTGTGTCTACTTTCACGCACAGCACTCGGAGAACCAATCAGCACAACTTACGGAGGCAGCTCAGCGAATGGCGATGCCGAAACATCTGTTTAGACCAAAAAACGCAGACTGAGTTGTGACATTAAGCAATGCAAGCGTGACGTTTTGCATTGCTTAATGTCACAACTCAGACTGCGGTTTTTGGTCTAAACAGATGTTTCGACACGTCATTCGCTGAGCTGCCTCCGTAAGTTGTGCTGATTGGTTCTCCGAGTGTTGTGCGTGAAAGTAGACGCACAGACTTTTTTAGAGTGTGGTTGCCTGCAGTCTAAAGAACGTCAGTGAGTTCCCCTTCCTGCATAACACGAAGACAGCCAATCACGGCGAACCATAGGATATTCCCAACGAATAATGAACCTCGAAATACGATTGCACTGAAAAAGAGCTGGCTGGTGGCTGCTGCTGGCAATTGGTTGCCTGGAGTCTAAGGAACGTCAGTAAGTTCCCTTTCCTGCATAACACGAAGCCAGCCAATCACGGCGAACCATATAATATTCCCAACAAATAATGAACCTCGAAATGCGATTACACTAAAAAGCTGGCTGGTGGCTGTCGCTGGCGACTGGTTGCCTGCAGGCTAAAGAACGTCAGTGAGTTCATCTTCCTGCATAACACAAAGACAGCCAATCACGGCGAACCATAAAATATTCCCAATGAATAATGAACCTCAAAATACGATTGCACTGAAAAAGAGCTGGCTGGTGGCTGCTGCTGGCAATTGGTTGCCTGCAGTCTAAAGAACGTCAGTGAGTTCCCTTTCCTGCATAACACGAAGACAGCCAATCACGGCAAACCATAGAATATTCCCAACGAATAATGAACCTCGAAATACGATTGCACTGAAAAAGAGCTGGCTGGTGGCTGCTGCTGGCAATTGGTTGCCTGCAGTCTAAAGAACGTCAGTGAGTTCCCTTTCCTGCA